TAGTAGATATTGTCTGAGTTAGCCTGAGAAGTATGAATAAAATTATGGCATAGAGGAGGTAGAGAAGAGAAGCCATCCTTCTTACTATAAACTAGACATGAGGAGTATTCAGTAGGGCTAGTTCCTAGGGCAGCGGCATGAAACAAGGCTAGCAAGTCCATGTTGAGACAAGTATGGAGAGATCAAAATGCCCTCTATCAACCATGCTTTCTCATCATGTAAAGCAACTTCATGCTATTTCACTAGAATCTTTCACAGTTGAAAGTATTCTTTAAAAATTAATTTCTACAGGGATGATTACTCACGTCTTCAAAGTTAAGTATACATAAAAGAACTAACACGGTCCAGCCAGTGTGGCTCACTAATTGAGCGTCGACCCATGCACCAAGAGGTCACCAGTTCGATTCCCAGTCAGGGCACATGCCCAGGTTGTGGGCCAAATCCCCAGTGGGGGGCTTGCAGGAGGCGGCCAATTGATGTTCTCTCTCATTGATGTTTCTATCTCTCTCTCCCTCTCCCTTCCTCTCTCTCTACAATCAATAAAGGACAAATAAAAAGAAGAACAACAACACAAAATAATAATATATGAACATAAAATTAATTACTTATATTTTTCATAGAAAACTGAAATGTTATAGATAATATGGATTTAATTCTTATTCATAGTCAATCAATCCTGCAATTCCTTGTAAAGTATACCTATTTACTTTTTCTCTTTATACATACAAAAATATTGAAAACCCATTCGTTTTCTGGACAAAAATATGGACCTAGTAGTTTCAGCTGGTGTGTACTGTGTTGACAAATGTTATATATTCAATGAACATGGTTTCAGAATGACTGCCTTCTGACTCTCAAACTTCATTGTTTTCTAACTTACTCATTAATCCAGGAAACCTGGCTGACTATGGATCCTCTATTATTAAAAAGATTTATAAAATCACAAAATATTACATTATTGCATTTACCTACTTGAGCAATTATAGAGAAGAAAAAATGAGGAAAAGTAAGGGAAAAAACACACAACTCTTAGCTGAGTTTTCTTTATTTATATTCTGCCCAATAAAAACTATTTTGTACAATTGCAAGACTGCAGGTATGTAAATATGCTGGTGTCTCCACTAAGAGCTGTGATTTTAGGCAAACCCTTAGTTTTTCCTTAAACATAAGAGAAGGGTTGTCTTGTTGGGTCCATAAGATCCCGCCCAGCTGACAAATCATATAATTCTGAAGTTCAAACAAGTCTTTTTAAAAAATAATGTTTAATTATCAGAGGAAGAGGAAATACAAATTAATGCAACTAAGTGATCTTCTTAACAAAGTCTAGATTTGTTAACCTATAATTTAAAACATAATTGCATTAAAATGATGATACATTTTTTAACAGAATACTTAACAACAACCATTTGATATAGTTGGAGGGCAGTGTTACCCATAAAAAAACAATGATAATTCAGTTTGATATCTTAAGCAAGAAAGAAGATTCTGTGGGTCAGAAAATTAGCATAACAGGTGAGAACACACTATTAAGGGTGCATTATAACAAAATGCTACAATATTAAAGCTGTGATAAAAGAATGAGAACAATAATCATGAACATAACACAAGAATTTTTTTTAAAACCTTAGTAATTTTTATGCACCTGCAGTCTCTAGAAATGCAGTGCTGGCTAACTGTTCCTTCTCTCCTCACTCCATAGAAAAGTGTAGATGTCTCAATGATTCAGCATGGCAAGCAGTTTTAAAGACTGCTCTTAACTCTGGTCTCAATCTTTGACAGTGGTCCCTTCATCTAACAGGCTCCAAAAAAAGTTCATGTCCCCTTCTTCAGCTTCTCCCATCACAGAATGGCAAAATAAAGGTCTACTCTAAATAATACTTTTACATACTAATAAAGAGTAGAAATCAAAAGTTTCTATTTACTTGCCCTAATATTTTAGAAAAAAAAATAGTATGCCTTTTTGTAAATGAAGATTGTCCTTTTCTAATTTGAGTTCTATAATATTCTTCTATCACAGACCTACAAATCCAATACAAGTTGTTCAGGTACTCACCATAGAGCTATTTTTAAAAGAAAGCAAAATAAATTTCACTGCTCCATACAGGAGAAAACATGATTTTGTAAGGATTCCCCAAAAGGATTAATTTGTCTGTAAATAATAAGTGCTTACAAAATGAAAAGACATAACCAGTGACAATCATATCTGAGGAGAAAAAAAAAGTTAAATTTGTCAAAACTCATCCCTAAAACACGTGACAACTGTTTAGTACATTAGATCAGCAATTATCACAAAATTTAAGCCCCCAAAGTTGTAAACAAAATATAGAGTGCTCTTTTGTTCATGACATGTCATGAACAAATTACCAAAATGTGTTTTCTCCTCAGGTGTCAGTTTTTCCCTCTTTTAGTGACTGATGGTTCCCAGTGTTATTACAGAAACAGATTGATCTTTTTAATGAGCCAGTTTAATAGACTCTAGAATCTCCACGTGGCTGCTCATCCATGTCAGACCATATGTACCAACAAAACATTCAGCAAAACAAAAAAAGCTCTGCTGTCAGCTCCATCCTCTGTAAAATTTCTACAGTCGGTCTGGATATACAGATAAATAATGAGAAGAGGAAAATGCATATGCAAACAAGATGCAGAAAATATATGCAAAGAAATACTATAGAGGCCCCTGTTTTCTTGGCTCTGGTCAAATTCCCACAAGATATAAGTGTATTTACACAACATATTCTCATTACCCTTCCTCCTAACTCTAAGGAAACCCATTTGCCATTTTTCCACGATAACAGGCATTTCAAGGTTCCACTTGAAAAAATTATTCCATCCAAAGAGCAAGCTTGTTAACTCCAACTCCATCAGTTGCTTCTGTCTATAAGGAACCACAGGGAGAATATAACTGAAGGCACCAAGAGAGTTCTACCAGGCTGAATGCAAATACACATGCACACACACAGCTACAGCTCACCAAAACCAAAACGCCGATTTTCTGGTACAGCACAAAGTTTCCATTTCAATGTTAGCACACTGTTCAGGGCTTAACTCAGCACTGTCCAAGGCAAGTCCAAAGGCACAGTACATTCAAATATAAGACACTGGAAAAGATCCAATGGGGAAATGGCTGGGGATATAGAGAAATGAATGAAAGGAGTCTTCATGCTGCCTGTTATGACTACTTAGCAGTTAGGGTTTCTAGAATACATTGTGTCCATTTCCAATTTTGCCTATTGGATTATCTTTACATTTATCACAGCTATCTAAAACTTTCCCTGTTAATCTCTCCTCCACCCAAATAAAGGTTCTTCTTCCCAATTTTCCACCCAGCGTCTCCCTGATTCTTTTACGGCGTTGTCCTGGAAAAGTGGGGCTGCACCCATGTTCCTCTCAACTCAGTACCTGTGCCCAGTAGTGACTTCCTGCAGACAGAACGCATGTGTGAATCATCTACCCTTGGCCACTTCTTGGTTTCCAGGATCATGAGGCTGTGCTGTTCAGACACCTGGACTAAGCAGTTCCCTTTAAAAACTAAAGTACTTAATGTTTACGTAGGACCAAGGAAATGGGAGTTGCCTATATGAAGGTGGGTCTACAGTATATCAGCAGTAAACTAATGCTTAACTTTTGCTTCAGGAATTTTACACTATTAAGAGGTCCTATGTCAGGAGTAGACAGATTCTGGAGATTGTAGCATAAAAAGTATAGTAATTGTATGTAAACTGGCTCACTTTTAATAACATTCTAATTTGCAAAATAGATGATACATTTAAGGCAGTTAATTCAGTCATGGGTAGGTATCTCTGATCAGCTCCAAGGACAGTAAGCTCCTATGAATCTGGAACATAATTATGGCTGAGTGTAAAGCTCTCAAAGGCTGTTACACTCATGCCTGATGAAAGAGAGAATTTGTAAGAGGAGGTAAAAAATAAAGCATATGACAAATAAGTTTTTGAATACAGTTTCATTTTCAGATTCTCCATATTTCACAAATACTGTATAAAATGCTGCTAATAAGATGCTGCATTCCTATATTAGAGAATAATTATATATGAGGATGAAGCATTAAGAAAAATTATGTTAATAAAGTACATGGGCAGTTTCATATATATATATATACACCTTGTTCAACAATTATTTTGTAAGGTTTAATGAAGAAGGGACTTTATTTTACATTTCTTAGAATTCTTATTATGAGAGCAGAGTGCCTGATAGGATAAATATTGGCTGATATATAAAAATTTTCAGCAAAAATGCCATTTATTATCTCTATTATTTAACTCTTACCTTCACTCAGTTCACCTAGCTTCCCAGAAGTTTTCTCTTAGTTCCCACAAACGCAAATTAAATAGCTACTGCATGGTGCTTACTGAGTAACACATCATGGCCAACTTTCAAAACCATCCTGTTTTAGGAAAACTTGGAACAGCAAATTTCCTAACACTGGAGAGTAAACTATGGGGTTGAATTATATAATAAATGACAACTTTAATACTGTATGTCTAAGAACCACCAGTGGCAGAGAGCACATCTGAATGTCATTCACATTCGCCTTTTCATTTATTTTTTAAAAGAAGTTTTTATTAATTAAATTTTAGAGAGGGAGGAAGGAAGTGGGGCAGAGAGAGATGCTGATTTATTGTTCCACTTCTTTATGCATTCACTGGTTGACTCTTGTATGTGCCCTGACCTGGGATCAAACCGCAACCTTGGCGTATTAGAACAATGCTCTAACTGACAGCTATCTGGCCAGGGCTTTGACATTTTAGTTTAATATTATAAGCAACAAAGATAAACCTGCACAAAAGCCTGACACAGGTCGGAGACTCATCCCTCTGTAACATTCCAGGCCAGAGCGAGGCCCCCAAGGTGGACGCTTTAGCTTATTGCTATTTTGCAAGAGGCGTAGGTCAGCAGTTTAGACATCACGTGAAACAGGTCTTCATGCCACAGGTATAAGGCAAAGGCCATGGTTAGTCCACAGGCCTCCTCCCTCTCACCTGTCTGGAGTTCGCCTCTTCCCGTTTTCGTTCACATCGAGAAGCAGCTCTGAGGAGTCAACAGGTGAGGTGGTGCTGGCATCCAGAAGCAGCTGTTCATGCTGGGCGAGGTACTGGGCAGGGTTCTGTTTGGCCAGCCTTGCGCAGTGGAGGAGCTCGCGCTGCAGCAGGGGCAGGTTCGCCTGCAGGGGCATAGCAGGGATGAAAGGATGAACCTATCCCCTTTTCAAACACCGATGGGGCATGCAACCGGACTAAACAAAAATGTCATTGAATGTATGCAACAGGTTTGATTCCCAGGCACAAATCTCAGTCCTGGGCTATAATGCCAGCCTTTCCCTGAGCCTGGATCGCCCTGAGCATGAGGTGTCTGACCTCTGTAAGCCACCTCTGCTTCCATGACCGCTGGGAACGTTGGGATTGGCACTTATTTTTTAGTTCCTTCGTGCTTGAACATAATATAATCATATGCACTATAGGATATGAGGTTCCAGCTCCATCCGTAAGCAACTTTTGTTGTATCCCCACAGAAGACAGATGGTATGTGAAATACATACATACTTCAGTTATTTTCAAAATAGGCTTCCTGACACATTCACTTTTGTATCTAGTAACTTCCACAGGTAAATCAGGCTAGTCCTATGAAACATCTCTGGTTGACTACCAACTTCAAATAAAAAAATATAAAGAGGAATGTAGAAATTATTTTTAGTAATCATCAGATTCATATATGTAAGTAACGCCCTGAGTATGTGCAGATATCCCAGGTGGAATTCATGCAGAAAGCAGCATATAGAAGTAGTTTACAAAAATAGTCTGCTTTCTTTATATCATCCTTATTCTAAAAAATAGGTGTAGTTTAATAGAAGAAATCTTGTGTACCCATCACTCTTCTTCCTCACCAAGCCCAGCACTTTGGAAAAGACGGAGAACATGCTGACTGATACATAATTCTGGCAATCTCTAATGTACTGAAAGGGAAGGAGACAATTTCACACATAGTAAAGAATTAAAACGAAAGTGAAACTTTACTCTAAAAAGTAAACTTACTCTGACATTATAAATCTAAGTTGTTTTTTGTTCTTCTCTCACTCTCTTTTATTTGTATTCTTTTGGAGTGGAGGGGAATATTCTTTGGAGTGGATGGGAAGAGTGGACGGGGATATTCTTTGGAGTGGAGAGGAACAGATGAAGAGCACTCACTCCCAACAACACTTAACTCTCCAAATTCAAGGCAAGATCAATAACATAAATCTCTGTGCAACACAAGGATTTTATTTGTAGGAACAAGGTACCATGTACATTAACTAACCTATCAGGTAGCCCTAGCCAGAGTGGCTCACTGGTGCAGCAGTTCTCAACCTGTGGGTCACGACCCCTTTGGGGGTCGAACGAGCCTTTCACAGGGGTCGCCTAAGACCATCAGAAAACACATATTTCCAATGGTCTGAGGAACTGAGACACCGCTCCTCTATCCGTCTCCAGGCAGGTCCACCCACATGCAGATACGCCCACGTACAACATGAGGAACTGTATTAAAGGGTCATAGCATTAGGAAGGTTGAGAACCACTGGGCTAGAGCAATGGACTGTGCACTGAAGAGTCATGGGTTCAATTCCCAGTTAAGGGCACATACCTGGATTGCAGGTTCGCTCCCTGGCCCTGGTAGAGGCACGTGTGGGAGGCAATCAATTGATGTGTCTTTCTCACATTGACATTTCTCTCTCTCTCTCTCTCTCTCTCTCTCTCTCTCTCTCTCTCTCTCTCTCACTTTCTCTCTCTCTCTTTTCCCTCCCTTGCACTCTAAAATATCAATGGAAAAAATATCCTTGGGTGAGGATTAATACAATAATTAACCAATCAGATTGAAAAGCATTTCAGGCCCTGGACAGTTTGGCTCAGCGGTAGAGTGTTAGCCAGCACATCAATTGAGTCTCAGGTTTGATTCCATCCAAGGGCACATATCTCGGTTGCAGTTCGTCCCCAACCCTGGTCGAGGTCCTATGGGAGGCAACCAATGGATGTGTCCCTCTCAGGTCGATGTTTCTCTCTCTCTCTCCCACTCTGTCTGAAGATAAATGGAAAAGTATCCTCGAATGAGTATTAAAAAAAAAGAATTTCTCAGTACAGGAGGTACCAGTGCCTTCATCTTTGGGCCCTCTAGAGTGGCAGGTACAGGCCCCAGGGCTGGGCTTGAAACTCACATCCATTTCCTGAGACATCAGTCAAGGAACTATCTTATAATAATGCCAAAGCATATTTCTGCACAAGGTATAAAGTCCTAGGTTATTTGTTAAAAATAAGCATATACCACCCTGTAACAATGCAAATGACTTCCTATACAAGAACAATGCCAAAAATAAACCCTTTGCAGTTAGGATGGTGTGGGTAACAAATATATTTTCAAACATTGTTTAAACTCTCTTTTTCTCTTCTTAGTGAAAGTAGATGTCAGATATTGTGTGCCATCCATAAATAATAAAGTAGCAATTCCATATAA